TGTGTGCAACTGTCTTTCTTTTGGCTAATATCTGTGAATTAATTGGTCATTGAAAAATCTGATAAAGGAATATTCTAAAAGTACACAGTGAAATCCAAATTATTTCTATCAATTACAGCTCACCTTTTCTGAGGCTTAAACTTGACATTTAAAAACATTTTAGTTATTACTTTGTTTTAAAATGAACAATATACCTCTGGTTAAAATTCTACCTTTTAAAAATTAAGGTATTTGAGACCTGGAGGACTTAATCCTCTACTTCAATATTTATTTTACTTTAGTAGTTTTTGTACAGAAAGTTTGTGAAAGATTTCATCCCCTATATATAGTTTTTTTATCCTCCAAAATCTGGTCCTACACTATATTCCTTGACCCATGAGGTCAAGTGGTGCCATCTGCTGGTCATAAGAAGTGGTGTCATCTGCTGGTCATTGGTGTATAACTGTATGAGAAAAACCACATGCACTGCTCTAGAAGTAACTTAAGTAAACTGCAGTAGAGTACACTTACCACTTTAGAATTAACCTTTAAGTTATAACTTCTCTCTTCCTCTTCCACCTTTCTCTCTCGTGTTTTCTCTTATGAAGCCAATATGACTCAAGCTTTAGACTATTTTAAACGGCAGATTTGAGAAAAAAAAAAGCAAACTTTTGATGCCCCCTGGTGTTCAGATTCCTTAGTATTTCTGAACTTTCTCTTTTGCTAAAACTAAAAACATAATAATGTGTTCTTCATTCATTCATTCATTCACTTATTCATTCATCTAATGAACATAACTATATCATGAATCTATGAATTACGCTCTATTTGAGATAACTGGATATCAAATTGTGACCAACATGACAAGGAAAGAAAAAGGAAGAATCTCAAGACAAAGTTAAACTGAAATCTGTTTTTAAGTGTCCTTTGAGTTTCTCAGTTCAGTTGTACCAAATCTATGATGGCTGGCCTTATAAGCAACCTGAGGAAGAGAGGAAAAGAGGGTAGAAGGCGAAGGGGAGAGAGGGGAGGAAGGAGAGGGGGCGCTGGCTCAGTGAACATGACATAATCCACTCATGACACACAGAACAGACAACTTGTTGCTTCCTCTTTAAGTGCATTATAAATGTAACACTTTTTATTTTTTTGAGAGGGAATTTCACTCTTGCTGCTCAGGCTGGAGTGCAATGACCCAGTCTCGGTTCACCGCAACCTCTGCCTCCCGTGTTCAAGCGATTCTCCTGCCTCAGCCTCCTGAGTAGCTCGGATTACCAGCATGTGCCACCACACCCAGCTAATTTTTGTATTTTTTAGTAGAGACGGGGTCTCTCCATGTTGGTCAGGTTGGTCTCGAACTCCCAACCTCAGGTGATCCACCTGCCTCGGCCTCCCAAAGTGTTGGGATTATAGGCGGGAGCCACCACGCCCGGCCAACACTTTTAAATAAAGAGATAAATGAGGTTAATGGGAATATATTACTTTACGAGCAAGATTTGTGTCTAATGCTTTAATTTAATTGTGGCAATTATTGTCAGATGGTCTAGGATAAAATTTTGTATCCGGTACATGACCTTTGGGAAGCTCTAGGAAGCCCTCAGCAACATCATATTTCCCTTCGCACACCTCTGCTCCATTAGCCAGCAAGAGAGATTTTCACGGTTGGATAAGAAGCTTCTTAGATGATCACCAATACTCCATGACTACTCATCAATCTAGCCACCTGAAACAATCACCAGTACAACAGGACTGCCATTATCTCCATGATATGGAGTGAAGAGCTCATCTACGTGCCAGGAAAGTGGTGCACCCCAGCTGCATGGGAACAGAAGCTCCTGTGCTCAGGACCCTTCTAGGCCTCACTTTATGTATCTCTTTATCTGGATGTTTATTCATATCCTTTCAAATACCCTTTGTAATAAATCAGTAAACGTGTTTCCCTGAGTGCTGTGAGCCACTTTAGCAAATTAATCGAACCCAAAGAAGGGGTCATGGGAACCCCAACTTGAAGCCTATCAGTCCGAAGTTCCAGAAGCCCGGACTTGCAACTGGGGGGAAGGAGGGGATAGTCTTGTGGGAGTAAGCTCCTAACCTGTGGGATCTGATGCTATATCTGGGCAGATAGTTGGAATTAAATTAGAGGACACCCAGTTGGGTCCTGCTGCAAAATTGACTGCTTGCTTGCTGGAGGGGGAAAATAAGCACATATTTTGGGATCACAGAAGTCTCCTGTGCGATTGTTATGGTGTGAGAGCACAGGAAAAATGGTTTAAGAGTTTTTCCCAAACAACATGATATACATGTACCAAACTATTGCTGTATCCCACAATACATAAAATTATTTTGTGCCAACTAAAAAGAAAAGGAAAAACAAGAATTTAAAAATCCTAGAATGGTATTGGCATAGAAAGAGACATATAGAACAGTGGAACACAACAGAAATTCCAGAAATAAACTTGTATTTGTGGTCAATTTACTTTTGACAAAGATGTCAAGAACAAACAATAGGTACAATGACAGTCTCTCCAGTAAGTGGTGTTGGAAAAACTGGATATTCACCCACAGAAGAATGAAATTACACCCTCATCTCACTCCATATACAAAAATCAACTCAAAATAGATTGCAGATTTAAATGTAAAGCCCAAAACTGTAAAATTTATAAAAGAAAACATAGAGGAAAAGCCCTGTGACACTGGTCTGGACGATGGTTTCTTGGATACACCCTGAAAAGCATAGGCAATAAAAGAAAAAATAGACAAATGGGACTGTATCAAACAGAAAAAGCTTCTGGACAGCAAAATAAATAATAAAGAAACAACCCATGAATTGGGATAAAATATTTGCAAACCTTACTTCTGATAAGGACCTAATATGCAAAATATATAAGGAACTAAAACAATTCAGTGGCAAGAAAACAAATAACCTGATTTTTAAAAATGGGCAAAGGACCAAAGCTGACATTTCTCAAAAGAAGACAAATGGCCAGCAGATACATGAAAAACTATTCAACATCATCAATCATCAGGGAAATGCAAATTAAAATCACAATGAGATATCAAATCATGTCTATTAGAATGGCTATTATCAAAAAGATGAAAGAGAACAAGTGTTGGAGGGGAATGCGGAGAAAAGGGAACCCTTGTACACAGTTGGTAGGAAGGTAAATTAGTACAACCACTTCAGAAAACAGTACAAAGTTTCCTCAAACAAATAAAAATACAATTACCATATGATCCAGAAATTCCACTTCTGGGCATATACCCAAAGAAAATGAAATGAGTATGTAAAGGAGATATGTGCACTTCCATGTTTATTGAAGCCTTATTCACAACAGCCAAGATATGAAAGCAATGTAAGTGTCCATTATGAATGAATGGATAAAAATGATACACATTGAATATTATTCAACCTTTAGAAAAAGAAAGAAATTCTGCCCTTTGTGACAATGAGGATGAACTGGGAGAAAATTATGCCTAAGTGGAATAGGCCAGGCAGAGAAACACAAATACTGTACTGCATGATCTTACTTATACATGGAATCTAAAAAAGTCAAACTCACAGATGTAGAGAGTAGAAGAATGGTGCCTACCAGAGGCTGGGGATTTGGAGGTAGTGATTATTTGGATGGGGAAAGGGAAGATGTTGATCAAAGGGCACAAAGTTTCAGTTAACACAGAAGAAATAAGTCTGTGATCTATTGCACAGCATGGTGACTATAATTAAGAATAATGTTTTATATATTTCAAAATTGCTAAAAGAGATTTTAAATGTTCTTACATAAAGAAATGCTAAGTATCTGAGGTAGAAAATATGTCACTTTGATGTAATTATTCTACAATGTGCATATATGTTCATATATATTATTACATCACACCTCCTGAGTATATACAATTATTTGTCAATTAACAATAAATTAAGAAAAATACAGTAAGCAAAAACGCCGCTTCCACTTTCCCTCAGTACTTTACAAATCATTTCCCATTACATTCTTATGAAGTGCTAGTTTAGTAATTAGCAAGCCTCTGTACCACTTCACCCCTATTTTAAGTCACCCTTTCCATCTCTTTTCTTTTACTAAAATCTAGTCTATCCTTTTACTCCACAGCTTTCTCTTAAGGAAGTTGATATTCTTCCATTCCCTACATACTAGGGGACTGTGATGAAGGGTAGCATTCTCCTGGTTTCTCATTGCCAACTCCAGGTTGGTTTGCTTCCATGGCCTCTAGAAAAACAAATCTCTTAGAAGGCGGTCTCTTCCATCTAGCTCTACCATCCTCTGATCATCCCTGTAGCTTTGATTTACCAGTCCCTCCAACAGCTAGACCTTGTATCATGGTCTTGCCCTTACCCCAAGTCCTATCTGCCACAGTTCCAGGAGATGCAATATGAATGTAGACAATACATACACAGAGATTTTAAAAAAAAACAAAAAACAAAAAACAAAAACAAAAAAACACCTTCCCCCTTTCACCCTATCTGACTAATTCAATTGCTCACTTCTTGGATCTTGCCATAACCTTTAGAACTTACTACTCTTCTAAAACCTTGAGCTCTGATATTTCCCTCCAGGACCTCCTCTCCTTCCCTCTTTCACATTCCTTCACCCTACCCTCATGGCTCTTAGACACCTTTAAGCCCTCCAGTCCCTTGATCCTCCACCCCCTTGATCCTCCACCTTCATCCATCATCCAGGTCCTTCATGGCTTCATTGTTCCCCACAGGGGCTGGATTTCTTTGATTGATAAGATAAACTCATACCTCCCCAAAATTCTCAATTCCTTGAGGTCCTATCTGATCAGACAAGATTGAGGGGCTGTCAGAAAAAAATTATACGCCCTTGCAGATTGGTACCATTTCTAATTCATGGTCCCTATTTCTCATATGGTCAAATCTTTGTCATCTTTTCTCAAACTCATTATGCAATCCTTATCTCTTATTTTATTGAGAAAATGATACCATCAAGAGTGGTCTTCCTTAGGTTCACAGCATCTATTCTTACATTATCTAGAGGCCCCATTCTTACCTCCTTTCTTCCAGCCCCATGTCTCCATTCTAATAGAGGACTATGATTTCGGTCAGAGCTTCTGATTCCATTCCTCTGGGATCTTGTGCCATTAGCTATATCTTTCTTAGTGTCTTCCATGTGAACTTCTTTTCACCTGCTTACAAACATACTCAAAACTCACTAGTAAAAGAAAAAAAAAAAAACCCCATTGATTACCTATCCTCTGCTGTTCATCTCCCAGTATCTCCTCCCTCTTCATCCAGACTTTATGAAGGACAGGTTTGTTGTTTATTTTCCTCATCCACAGGCTGCTCACCCTCTCTCCAATTTGCCGGAGTTTCGTTCTTGAGGCAATAGTCCATGTGAGTTTTGTATTGGATATTTGAAAAAAAAAAGTCCAGGGTAAAATAAGGGTGAGAGCTCTGTGTGTGAAGTATTTAAAAGCTATTTGGGTTTTAAATTATATTAAAAGTCAGAAAATTTAAAAACAAGTCTTCCTTAAGCATTTCTGTTCAACTTACAAATCTTGTTATCCTGTTTACAAGTTGAGTACAATGAGAAATATCACCTTCACTTTTTTATTGATTACTGTATTAGCTATTTTTGGATTAACATTTCTATATTGAACAGAATAATTTTCCTCAGTACTTTAATTATATTCAATTAAATATTTTAAATAGTTTTTCAAAAATTTGACTTTAATTTTTAAGCATTTCAAATATCTGACATGACAAATTTATAATACCTATAAACAAAATGTTTCCAAGAACTCAGATAATGCTTGAAGTAAAATTATTTATACTCAGGAAATATAACAAATCAAAGTATCTTATATAATCTGATAATATACAGAAACTTTGTCAAATTATTTTTGCCTTTTGGCTTAAAATCATACTTAAAATCAATTGCACATTCAACTGGACTTATGAGGATAACCTCTGAAATTCTATGTATTTTATATACTGTATAAAGTTTTAAATAAGAAACAGAGTTTTTCTTTAAATTTAGCACAAATGTATTAATGCTATGTTGGCTTTATTTCAACATTTCTATATTTAATTCAAAACCATCCTATGGTGGAAAAGCACTTACCTAGAGTGAGCATAAAATTTATTTTCTAAACTGGGACATATTTGAGAGGGAAAAGGGAAACACAAAAAATAATTAAAACTTGTTAATTGATCTTCAATAGGTATAAACCAGGACTATCCCAGCCAAACCAGGCTGATGGTCACTCCTTCCTGATCCAAGTGTAGGGAATCATTTATAATTTGGATGAGCAGAGCTTTGTGGTCAAGTGTTTATGCTCACAATATGGCTATGTAGGTCAGAGATGTGAGCGAGACCAGATACAGGTCCTGAGAGTGATCTGCTTCCTCAGTGATTCCATCTGTGTTGCAAGGGGACCTCTGAGGTTTTTTATAACTGTTGCATCAACCAGGGACCTCAAGTTTATACCATCGAAGTGATTTTGTGATTCTTTCTCACTTTCTTTATTGCCTGATTTGGGTAGATACAAGTCACCACCACCAACATCATGGGTTGCTTTTAATGTTTCCAAGAGGTCACAACTCTAAAGTCATTTTAATGGCATCTCATTGGCTTTGGCATTTCCTTCATACTATTTTTCTGGATCTGAAACAAATGCTTGTTTTCACTCAGGATAAAGGTCACTAACTACTTCCTAATAATCAAATCTAATCAAATTTATTTTTCTTAATATTAATGGACCACATGATTAATTATCTAAATGCCTGTCTCCTACACTTCAATTTCCTTCATATCCAACTTCCCCGCCAGCAACACACACACACACCCCTCACCTCTCTAATTTCTTAGTTCATCCCTTAAGGCTCACTTTCTCCAGGAAAACTCTAAAAGGTGCCCAGCTCTGTGTTTTCACAATATCTAACCTCACCCTTATCACGTTGTTTTATGATATTTGACTTCTCTTTCTGACTCCTCTCACCAGATCAGGAGTTTATTAAGGGCTCAGAGAGTATATAGATCATACATCTTTCTCTCTTAGCACTAAGTTTAAGGACCAGCACATGACAGTGTAGAGAAACTTTCCCGTTGGAGAAAAGGCATAAAAATTTCACACGGGAGCCTTCAGAATGAAGACCCAAAGATGCAGGGAAAATTTTCCATTTTTATGATTAGCTTTGTTAACCCAAAATATCTGAGACAGGTCTCAGTCAATTTCAAAAGATTATTTTGCCCAAGGTTAAGGATGCGCCAGTGACACAGCCTCAGGTCCATGATCAGCCTTCCACTGCATACACAATTTAGTCTGGTTCAATGAATTTGCATTTTTACATAAACAATAGGGCAGAGGAAGCAATCAGATATGCAGTTGTCTCAGGTGAGCCTCAGAGGGATGACTTTGAGTTCTGTCTGTCTTTCGTCCACAACGAATTTCCTTGGGCAAACTGTGAGGGAGGTATGTAGCTTCTTATATTTGTAGCTATCTTATCCAGGAATAAAATGGGAAGCAGGTTTTCCTAACATAGTTCCTGGCTTGGCTTTTCCCTTGGCTTACTCATTTTTTCCCTTGGCTAAATGATTTATACTTCTTTCACAGGTTCAACAAAGTATGGACAGCCACGTAGAAATATGATTGGACAAAAAGGGGATGACATACTGCTAACAGACTGAGTAGGGAAACCCAGCAAAGCTGTCTGTCTAGATTCTTCTCGGCCTCTCTGTGTAGCATTCCTTCCTTATGGGTGTGGGGCAGGTCTCTCTCTGGAATGGGGGTCTTATAACCCACAGCCAAACAAGATAGGTCAGATAATTTCTTCATGGCCATATTTGCATATTTTTTGGTTCTTATCTTTTACACAGAAAGGCAGAGGGAAGGTTAGAGAAATATGTTTAAGTTTTATGGCTGGCTTTAGGGAAAAAGTCTTCTGGTTTCTATTATCCACCTTGGGGAAGAAGGATTCTAGTTTCTATGGTAGCATCAGGGGGAGAATGGGAGTGAAAGGCAGGCAGGAGAAGGTCAGAGAAAAACTTTTGCTTTTGAGGCTGCTTCTGAGGCCTTCATTTTTGGGGTGTTGTTTTCTGAATCTCAACACTGGAAAAAATAATAATTAATCAAGAGTTCAGACTTTGCAATTAGGACAGATTCAGGGCTGAATCTCAATTACTTTACTTACATAAATTGGAGAAGACTTCTTAAATGCTCTGAGCCTCATGTTCCTCATGCAATGATAGTGATAATAAAACCTACACTTGTCCTTTCTCAAACATCACATCTGACCGAGAATTTTATTATCTCAGTTTAAGGCTTAATAGTGTAAAATTCATAAACCCCTGGGTGAGGTAACAGTTTAAGCTGATTTTGGCAACTTAACAGGTTTGACAGGTTGGATTGACATTTTGATGGGCTAGAGAGAGGGAAGTCCTGAAGATTCCAAACAGACAAGGAAGCTTTGGGGAGAGGCAAATAAGCAGAAAAGATGAAGTTATAGCAATTCAACTTATCTCTCTCCCCTCCTCTGTAAAATGGAAATTATAATAGCAACCACATTAATAGCTGTGAGGATTAAATGAAGAATATGTGGCTCTTAATAAGTATTAGCTGTTTTGTTGTTGCTATTGAAGATGCTCAGAAGACAAACATGACTTTGTTCCCGATTTGTTTTTAGGATTGTATGTACAGACGGCATATGGATTTGGCAGAGAAGAAAAGCAATACTCTTAGACTTATTTCCTACATTTTAATGTTTTTCACGGTATACAGGTGTGCCTTAAGTTTTTAAAGTGGAATAAAGAGCAGCGGGTCACATAAGAGCTCATTATATGGGTCTCTCATCATAGCTTAGATCCTGACATGCTAAGGAGAGATTATGTTGCATCTGTGATATTAAAATACATCTGGGTATCTATTACTTTTTGGCCCTTTTCTATAAAAAGCACAGAAGCTGAGAATCATATCTCTTTAGAGCAAGATTGAACATACTCTCTCTTTCACTGAGGGAGGTACAGGGTTCAGGGCTTAATCTTGCACTTTGCTTATCCTTAATAGAAATAATAATACCTACCTTATAGGATGTGAAGATCCTGGGATTCCAGGGTAGATGGCCATTCTGTTGATCTGAATATGCTTTTAATGTGCAGAATTAATCTAAGAAAAGTGAAAAACTGGTGAGATTTTACTTCAAAAAATCCAAATTATATGCAACTTAAGTCATCTTCAGTAGAGTTTCAGAAATGATAGGGGAGATATAATTTGAAGTGAACTTTGAAAACAAGACAAGGTGACTTGCAATGAAGGCTATTTCTAGGGTAAAAGGGACTTCAAATAGAAGGAATGAATAAAGAAAACTGAAGGAGAACTTGATTCTATTGCAACAAGAAACATATGGGAAATTCCAACTATCTGGAGCAAACCAACTTTAAAGCAGACTGTCAAAACTGACCCTGCTTATCTCATTTTAAAGCGTGGGGTTCTTTCCTCAACCAAAAACACAGATGCCAGGTTACACTTTATAATTTCCACTTTCATTAAAGGTCATTATAAGGACTTGCCACCTAAAATGTGACGTAAATATTTTTTGAGAAAGCTACTATATCACTTGTAATTCCCTCTATAAAGTATCTGCAATAAATGCATTTTTAAAATCAGATTTCAGTAATATTTTCTTCACCTGTGACATACTACTTATTTTGTTTATCATTATGATAATGGGAGAATGGAACACTTTTCTTTGTTTTTTGTTCTTATTTCCTTAAAATTTTAGAGTAATAGTCACGTACTAACCTATAAGAAACTTAGAAAGGTTCAATTAGTTAGGCTTTCTATGACAAAAACATCTAAGTCTCTAGTTACTAAAATGTTAATGTTTATGTGGCATCATGGTCTATACTGTAGAGTCAGAGTAAAGAGACATAGCTATATTTTTTAGATCAAGAATTTGTTCAGTTATTTACAATCAAGAGTGTTAAGAGAACTTGGATTGCAGACAAAATTATATTCTGCAATTATATTCAATTTTTTTCAGAATGTTACCTTAGGACTGGCCTGGTACATACTTGCACATCTTTTGCTTCTTATCTTAATAAACACTAGCCACTATTTTCTTTTCAGTACATTTTTTTTTCCTTCTTGGGTGGGGTAAAGAGAAGTTGATTATTCTGATAATTGCCTGTGGAGAAGTTTCTCTGGACACAATTTTATTAAGGGCATTGAGTCTCTTTGGGGTTTTTTTCTTCCCAATGACCACACTGTGCACAATGGTGATGTTGTGAATTTTGAACCTGAATTTATACCAGTTCAGACATCTTTGGCTTCTCACGCTGACATAGGCTTGCCCAGCTGAGAATTTGAAGATGCAATAATTTTTAAAATGTCTTACCATCATTATTACAATTAGTTTACTTATTGTTCCCCCAGATATTTTTTCAACAATGTTCTGCTAAATCTAGAGTGGCTGCTTGCTAATAGAATTTTAGTTTTTTCACTAAGCTGCCAGGATGGGACTCTAATCCATTGTCAAAAGTAGTGGCCAAAATGTCCCTACTTATTGTGGCTGTGATACAGGTGTATTGTAAAAAGATCTGATTAACACATAATTGGGGATCTCTAAGTACACTTCCATGTTATTTAGAATTTTTATTTTGGCCCAAATATCTATAAGGTAGTGGGGAGTTATGTGAGTTTCTTAGGCCATGGAAACTTGCCAGCTTTAATACCTCCAGATGAGGATGGGTTACCAGCCAGCTTGGGCCCATTTTGTAGTACCCATCCAGGACAGACACAATGGCCAGGCACAGAAATATAACAATTCAGTGGGAAAGCTGATGCAGTTGGTTGAGGTGATACATTTCATGCATTTGTATGAATACTTCCTCTTGAATATTTGATGATTCTGGAATGGTTTGGAGAAGACTTCAAAAATAACATGTTTAGTAAAAGGGAACCGTAGGACACTGAAGAACCATTGCTCAAGACCCAGTATAGTCAGCTACTGGTGATAACCATTTCAGTACTTTGTTGGCTAGGACCTAGAAGCTGGGAAGACATTTATGAGAGATTATCAAAAAGGGGAGAAGCTGTTGAAACCTTCATACTGTTTCATAATCAGAATTATTGTAAGATGACCTAGTTCTTTATAATTATCTTCAGAAAAGCAAGGGTACAGATTAACAGAGGGGGATTTATAGGATAAGAACAGAAGGGCAGGGCAAAATCTATGCTCCTAGACAGACCGACTCTCCTTGTCTTGTTGACATAGTAATCAAAAAGGGAGACCACTGAAAATGTTTGCGTATTGAAAATTAATGAAAATTTTGTCTTCCTTTTTAGGACTTGTTAAGAAAAAACATGACCCAAAACTTGGAAATAAGGCAAAAATATTACCGCCTACCTTTTCAAAGATACTGCACTAAAGAAAGCACTGTCTCACAAGCCTGTCCAAGGGTTATCCAAGTCTGGGTAGCAAGGGGTCATGTGATTCAGGCACTACCCTGAGCAGAAAACAATGGCCCAAGACCTCAGCCAAACCCAGCTCTCCACCTGTTTTTGTACAACTTTGAACTGAGAATGCTTTTTTACAATCTTAACTGGTTGGAAAAATATCAAAAGTAGAATAATATTTTGTCACATGTAAGTGTATATGAAATTCAAACTTTAGAAGAATTTCCTCTTCACAGACATCACATCTTCAAGAGCAAATGCTTGAGCCCTTACCTGCAAGTTATAGTAGAAAAGTCCAGAAGTCCAGCCTGGTCCTCTCCAAGTTTCCAACTCCTATGCCTAGGGGTATTTTAAGCTTACAAGATCTAACTTGGTTACAGCGTCTAACTTTTAGCAGAGAGGCAGTGCTGAGTAGAAACTGGACTTGCTAATCATATCAAGTCACTTAAGTTGGCTAGAACCCCCTACTTAGGTAGCAGCCATAAAGTCCAGGGCATCCTTGTGTCCTCAATGGTTCACTTCTGAGTGGTGGGCTTCCTGCCCCTCAATAGAGCAATCAGCAGAAAGGCCCCTAGAAAGCTACATTGTCTTCATCCACGAAGGACTCCCTGTCTCCTGTTTCTCAAAGGAGCATCCGAATTCTACTTTCATTCCTCTTTTACCATTGCATTTTATAACTTAAAAGAAATAGATTATTGTAACAGAATAAAGAAAACTTTACATTGTGAGAAAATTTAGACCTAAAGCATATAGTAATAAGAGGACGAAAGTCTATACTGTTTAAGTAAACAGGTTCTATGAGGCTAACATCACACAGTGGTATTTTGAATTAAATTGTACTTGTGTTTCGTTTCCGTGTTTTGCTACTGTAAGAGGAAAGCATCCCCTTTCTCGGCCTGCCTCCCACCTCCAGGCTAATTTGCAGCATTTCTACATCTCAGAGTCCACCCTTAAGATCCTTGTCAACCATTGTTTTGTTGCAGAACGCTTAATCCATCAAGGAAGGTTAAATTGGATTATCCCAGTAGGGAAGGGATGGGGGCTTTGAGCATGAGGGATTCTCCCTGTAAAGGGCTGGTGGTGGTGGGGTGTGTGTGTGTGTGTGTGTGTGTGTGTCCTGCTAGTGTTGAATGATGGAGACCTTAGTCTGGATTCTGAATCCAGGTGTACTGGATAGCGCTCCGGCGTAGAAAGGGTTAAAGATGCCCCCAGTCGGGTAGAGCAGACTGGGAGTTGCGCACGGTCTCAAACGCCTTAAAGCCGCTCCTCACATTGAAGATAAGTAAATCATAGTTCGTAAATCAGAAAGATTATCCAGTAGTACGTTACTCTGTTTATTTCCCTTTCGTCATCCCTGAGTCTTGGGTCAAGTCCATCCCAGCTGTGTCCTCCAGGAATCAAGGCAAATACGCAAACCCCCCGTGGGTTCGCAGCCGTAGGAAGTGCAAACCACGCCCCCGCCACGGCAGCCGCCCCGCGTTAACTGCCTGAGAGAATCTCTGGCCGGCCAGTTCCGTCCTTGGTGAGGATTTTCCCTTGCGCGCGAACTTGTGGAACGCCGCCGGGCCAGAATGCTGAGGCCTCTGACGCCACGAATATCGGGCCAAGCAGGGAGTGCTGCTGTTCCTTACAGGGTTTTTGTGAATGTTAAGTAAGCCAATTAAAGTCCAAAACACGCAGTCTGGAACAATACAGCGCTCGATAAATTGTCTCCATTATTATCATTATCCGTTAGTTACAACTGGGGATTAAAAAAAAAAAAAAAAAAAACCGACAAAAACCCGGAGAACCGGAAAGGTCTGCAAAAGGGGCGGAACGCGGGAACTTCGATTTGGGGAAGGGGTGGCGGGGGAGATCCCACACAAGCAGCCAATCCAGCTGTCCCGGGGAGGAAGAGGAGGAGTCAAGGCCCGCCCCGGGTCTCCGCACTGCTCAGTCCCGCTCTGTGGGGTTGGCACGGTTGCAGCTCTTCGGTCCCTTTGGTTCTCTTAGTCCCGAGCGCTCGCCCACTGCAGCTTCCTTTCCCGTGCAGATATGGCCTCTGGCACCACCACCACCGCCGTGAAGGTGAGATGAGCCCTCCCAGCCGCAGCGGTTCGCCCTGCCGAGTGCCTTCTCGCCCCCGCCCCGGCGTACCGCGCCTCCCGGGGCCATACGCCCGGCCCGCGCGCCCCTGCCGCGGCGGGGAGGGACCGGGGCTGGGCACTCGGGACTCACTTGCCGCTCGAGGAGAGGGTACGCTTGCGAATGATCCCCTCCCCGATACACACACACATACACACACACACACACACACACACCACCTTTTGGCTCATCTGCACCCGCTGCCCGTAGGGCGTAGGCACCCCTTTAGAGAGAGGTGTCGTGGATGGGAGAGGCTGCGCCCAGGCCGCCACCATTCCTGAGCACCACTGTTCTCCCGAGAAAGACTCCCGGCTAGAGCCAGCAGGTGTCCGGGCGCCTGCAGCTTCTGTGACCATCTCCTAGTGCCTTGCGGGACTCCAGCTTCCGCTCTCTGACTCTGCTTGCTGCCTGTGGCCCACGTGGGAGAACTGCTTACTTGCTCTTTTGCATGCTTCCGGCTTCTTCCTCCGAACGTAGGCCTCCGTGCTGAAGTTTTCCCCAGCAGCGCAATGCTGTAGGGGTTCTGAGACTTTCTTCGAAAAGTACAGGCGTCCCTTTTTAGGGCTGCACCGTTTGGAGGCGTCTGGCTTCAAACTGCTTTGTTTTGCAGCCTTGCAAGTTAGAGTTCAATTTCCTTGTGCCCTAGGCCCTGAGAGGTCTCGATACAAGGAATCATTGTGCGGTGGGAAGCTTTGTGCTGGAGAGGGCACAAGTTCTGAGAGTAGCAGCTGGCTTCCCTGGGGTTTTAAATACTTCTCTCCTGGTTAGTATTCCGAGAGAGAATTACAGCACATAAAGAAAAATTGATGCTAAAACTTAAGACCTCTTCTAGGGAGTTTATTACTGGCTAAGAACGCAGTTAACTTGTTTGATTTTTAGAAATGTTTGACCTATGGGATAGGAAGGTCTGCGATCTTCTCCAGAGCATCTCGATACCCTACACTCGACTGCAGTTTTCCCGGGAGAAGGCGAATCTCTGCGGTCACTGTGTAATCAGCCAGATTAGTTTATTAAGCCCTTGCAGGTTTAAATGAGCCACTTAGAATGAGAGGAATGGTGAAGGGTGTTGCATCCAGACTTACATATGAAACTTATTTTGTCATTTTGAGAAGAATCTTGCATCCAGCAACTATTTATAAAAGGCCTCGCCCCTGCCTTCATGGTTTGGTGGAAACAAGGCAGAAATGGTTTTCATGAAACTCTTGTGAAGTATGTGACTACTCTTGGGTGCTCATCTATAAACTGAGAATTTTACTGCCGAATTTGCTGGGAGAGCTAGAATTAAATTGTCTATGTTGCACATGGTTGAAGCTTATTAAGTGGTAGTGCTTATAAGTGGGGGAACTGAGATTAATTTTGAATGACCTTTTCCCCAACAATTATTAAGTTATTGTGTTAGGTATCATTTCACCTTACCCTTGCAGGAATACACTTCGAATGCCATTAAAAATAGAGAGATGGTGTTTGAAACAGTCTTACTTCAATCTGATTAGCATTCTCCCTGCCACACGGTTTCCCTTCAAATTAATGCAGTGCATTTAAGTGCAGAATGGGCAGTGTGATTCTCAGAGACCTGATGTAAATATTGAATAATGTGTATTTTTGATCTTGGCAAGCTTCTGGATATAAAATTAAGAGATACATATGGTGCCAGGACTGCCTGCTGATTTCTCCTTCAGTTTAGAACAGATGACAGCTTTGCTGTTGAGATTCCATGATGCCAGCACCATATTCCCCAGACTTCTAAGGCAACATTCTGTATAGAAAATGTGAGGTGCCAGTGTCCAGAGCAAAATAGGTTAAAAAAAACTACATCCTATTCCCAAATTATTGAATAATGGGACTGGAAAATGTTCCTTCAAGACCATCCGTATAACCACACAAATCCCTTTTGCAGGTGTAAAGTTGAGACGCAGAAAGGTCAGCTAAGGTGTCCAGAATTACACAGCTGGACCTAGATAAGGACACAATTGGGCCTAGAGCCTGGCATTCCACCAACTAGATGTGAGGCATTTCTGAAATCTGAAGTGTGGTCTCTCTGCCCTGTTTTCTTGTGACTTAATGCACAATTAAAATGAGCACTTGATAGAATGTCCATCTTGAAGAGGGAGGCAGAGTGCGAGTAGAAAGCAGGCTGTCTCCAGTGCCCGCTGGACACCACCCAGGTAGAGGTGTAGGAGGCACATGTGTGTCTGAGCCCCATTGGTGTCGCTGGCAGGTCCTTTGAGAGGTGGCTGGATTTAAATACAGTAACACATGTAACACATTCAGTCCAGTTCTAGGTACTCCTTTAATGTCAGCCCAAGTACCTCTCTTTTTAAAATAGAGATATGAACAGGGAAGGGATCTTAAATTCATTCTCAATTTAAGAGGTGCAGTTAACTCATGCAAGTGAAAGATTCCACTGAGTTTTGGATTGGCAGTATAATATTTGGCAAATCTTTCAAATCTAGCCATCTACTGGTGGAATCCTATTCAAAAATATTTATTGAATACCTGCCAGACACTGGGGATGCATCTTTGAGTAAGCAAGGCCTTTATTTTCTTCAAGTTTATATTCTAGTCAGGGCGGAAAACCAACTGACATGAAAGTGAAACAGCAATAAGATTCCGTTGGGTGAGGGGTGTCAGAAAAGACTCCTAGGGAGGTGGGTTTTAAGCTGTGCAGTAGTCTGCCTCCAAAATCTGTATGTTGAAACCTAATCGCCAATGTGATGGTATTAGAAGATGGGGCCTTTGGGCATGATTGGGTCATAAAGGTGGAGCCCTCATGAATGGAATCAGTGCCCTAGAGAGCTGCCTTATTCCCTCCACTAAGTGAGAGGACACCATCTGTGAGCCAAAATGTGGGCCTTCCCCAGACACTGAATCTGCTGTGACCTTAGCCTCCAGACCGTGAGAAATTTCTGCTGTTTATAAGCCATGCAGTCCTAAGATACCTTGTTATAGCAGCCTGAATGGACTTAAACAAGCTGATAGTGAAAATAAGGATAAAGATCCAAGTGAAGACCTGAGGAGAGAGATGGGGGTAGGAGAGCAAAAACCAAGGTGTTGCAGCAGTGAGCTCAGTGTAGTGAGAATGGAAATTACGGATGCACAGTGAGAATTGGGTGGATGCAGCTCATAAGGCCATCCTTATAGACCACAATCAAGAATTTTGATTTTAAATGTTTTGGAAACTGTTGAAGAGCAGCAGGTGGCATTTGATTTACATTTTAAAATGGTTACCCTGGCTGTTGTGTACAGAATAGCCAGTGGGCAGGGGAAGAGCTAAGAGATCAGGCCAGAAGTCTTGGTGTTGGTGCTGAAGTCTAGGGTGGGAGCCATGGAGATGGTGAGGAATAATGAGATTGGGGATAGAATTTGCAGGTAAGATGTGGGGAGTGCGGGAAGAAGAACAGGATGATTTCTGCTTTTGACCTGGAAAAGCAAAAAGATGGGTCATTTCAAAGTGGGTGATAAGGGGCCATGAGTGACTCCTTGGAGCCAAGGAGGGTGAGTGTAGGATTCCTTCCTCCCAGATACTGCTGGTTAGGGGGCCAGAGGCTGAGATGCTGAGGGGCCTCTTTGCTGTAGGAGCAGAGTGGGTGGCAGGTTGAGGGAAGGAGAAAACCACCTGCAGTAAGAGTAACTGAAACAGGCTTTTTTGTGGTTCACTGCAGTGAGAGGTGGTCCAGGCAGGGAGTAAGGCTATTACTTAGGGGGTAGCCATGGAGAGCGGCAGCAGGAGTCAGAGGCTATGGGATTAACACCGCTATTGTCTGAGAGGACCTCAGGGAGACATTGTCCTCCAGCATCAGCCAAGGGCAGGTAGTATTCCTGAGAGGGGGCCAAACTAGTCTTTGGCACCCAAATAGAGGGCATTCTGGAGGGCTCCAGCAGTGTACCATGACTCCCCTGGGCAGCCTCCCAGCTTTCACTCTGGGAGATTAAAAATAAGACTTGGCCAGGCGCAGCGGCTCATGCGTGTAATCCCAACACTTTGGGAGGCCCAGATGGGCAGATCACCTGAGCTCAGAAGTTCAGGACCAGCCTGGGCAACATGATGAAACCCCATCTCTACAAAAAATACAAAAATTAACTCGGCATGATGCTGCACGCCTGTAATCCCAGCTACTCAGGCGGCCAAGGTGGGCGAATCCCTTAAACCCAGAAGGCAGAGGTTGCCGTGAGCAGAGATTGCGCCATTGCACTCCAGCCTGGGCGACAAGAGTAAGATCCTGCCTCAAAATAATAATGATAATAATAGTAATAACAACAACTTGTTAATCATGGTTGCTGTGACAAGGAGGGGATATGGTCCCATTGTGGGTTGGTAGTGAGCTGTAAACATAATGATATTAAGGGAGATGGACAAGTCATGGTTTGTAGACTGTGGAACATGGGCCTTTACACTCTCCGCTTGGCTGTCTCGAGTGTGGCCTACAAGGCCTTCAGCCTGAAAGTCCTAGTGTGGCCATCTGAAACTGAGGACAACCCGTAGGCCCCAGTTGAAAATCAGATGACCAACGAGCCTTCATTTTTTTGCCTAGGGACACAAGGGCATTTTGGGCAGGACAATTACTTCTTTTGTAGGACTGTCCCAAGCATTGCGGGACATGGAGTACAACCCTTAACCCCCTCCGCAGAAATGCCATTAGCACTCCCCGTAGTCATGACAACAGCCAGAAATAGCCCTGTTTCCAGACACCCCCAGGAGAGCTGTTTGACATTTAGTTGAGGACCCTAAGGCAAAATCACAAAAAGACTACCTGCCAAAGAGAGGTAGGAGCAGCCAGGTTTTGTACTGTTCAGCAGAGTAAAAGGAGGAAATAAGGGCTTTTTTTGTTGCTTTGAGGAAGTTTATTTTGATTTTTTATTTTTGCCAGGAGTGGTAGGGCATACAGAAACAGTGACTGATATTAATACATTATTTCCCTTTATTCTCTTGATAATTGTATGGATTAAGTAAAAATCTTACCCCTATAGGTGCAGTTGAGGAAGCAGTTAAGGAAAATGTTTGTATGCAGTGGATCCTGGATCCTTACCTGTGGTTGTTGTCATGGCATTCCAGTCTGTGCCTCAAAAGCATCTAAAGCAGTGGTTCTCAAAGTGTGTCATGCATTCATATCACCTGGTCATTTGCTAGAAATGCAAGTTCATAGGCCCCACCCCAGTCCCAGTGAATCAGAAACTCTGGGGCTGGGGCCCAGCAATCTAGGTTTTGACAAGCCTTAGAATATTCAGATGTCCACTGAAGTTTGACAGCCACTGACCTAGAGAGCTTTGGAAAGGGTGACCATCTGCATTTTTAACAAGCTCTTCCCTTAGTGTAATAGTTTCATGTTGCTGCTCTAACAATTTTCACAAATGGAGTGGCTTAAGACAACACAAATGAGGCCGGGCGCAGTGGCTCATGCCGGTAATCATGGCGGTTTGGGAGGCTGAGGTGGGTAGGTCGCTTGAGCTAAGGAGTTCAAGACCAGCCTGGGCAGTATGGTGAAACCCCATCTCTGCAAAAAATACAAAAAAAAATTAGCCAGGCATTGTGGTGCATGCTTATAGTTCCACCTCCTTGGGGACAGGAGAATCACTTGAACCCAGGAGGTTGAGGCTGCAATGAGCTGAGATTTCACCACTGCACTCCAGCAGCCTGGGTGAC